TTAGTAGACTGGGAAGTTAATATACCTTTATTGTTCCAAATTAGAAATGTCCTATTTTATGTCATTTATATGCAGATGTTAACTTTCTGATTTGTGTATGCAAATGTAAATCTTTTGCTTGTTTTTGAGAAGACGGAAAATTGTTTCAGTGTTTCCTGAGATAGCTCCATGCAGTCTTCATGATCATTGGATGAGTGCTCTAGGGAGTATATCCCATTAGCAGAGTACCACTGTTAATTATGTCACGTATTTGATTGATGACAGATTTCCTTTTGTTCATGTAATATTGAAAATGTCAGAGTGGGGGCAGTTGGAAGCTCTGCATCACTGTGGGCTCCAGTTATTTAAGCTTGAGTGTTTCTGTTTCCTACTAGTAAATCTACCGGCGCCTAATTTAAAAAAAAAAAAAAATCAGTGTAGGTACAACTTACTCACACTAAACATTTAAACATTTTTGTCATTTATCTCATTGGCACTCAGAATATCCTGAAACAGAGTTCTTTTTCTTTTCTCTCTTTTTTTTGTTTTTAATATATATATTTGGTACAGGTTCTCACTATGCAGCTGGGACTCATAGTGATCCTCCTGTTTTTAGACTCCCCAGCCCTAGGATTCCAGGCGTGCACCACCAGGTTCAGCGGGTCCCTCAGGGGCATGGTGGGGCCAGCAGGGCCTGCAGGACCTGGGCTCTAACCCTGGTGTAGGCACTTAGTTCGCTGAGCTATCTCGCTGGCCCTTCTTTTTTATAGACCTTCTAAATAGCGCCATAAAGCATCTGGTTGGCTGTTTAAATCTTGTCTGTGTTTCCATGCTATAATAACAGAATGAAAAGTTACCACAGAAATCACGTGACCTATAAAGCCTGAGGTATTTGCTGTTTGAACAGATTTGCTTGGACCTGTTTAAAAGCTGGAGACTTAAGATTTTTCAAAGAATTTGAAAAAATCCTGTTAAAGCAGGAAAAAAAGGAAATTGAAAACTCTTTTGAAGTGAGAGATGCGTAATGGCTAACATTAATATTAAACTCTTAGATTTACCTGCCACTGAAGTGGAATCGTCCAGTGTAGGATTTGGAAAAATCTTCCCCAAACCTAATTTGAATGTCACAGAAGAGACTAAGGAAGACTCTGATGAAATGCCCTCGGAGTGTATCTCTAGAAGGGAGTTGGAGAAAGGCCGAATTTCTAGAGAAGGTAACGTCACGAGACCACCTCAGCACGCAGTCCTTTTTACATCCCGAGTCTGTGGCTAGGAGCGTCTGTTCCTGGCATGGCTGTAAGGCACACCCTGTGAGACATTAGTTAGTAGTGTCAGCACTTTTTTGTTTTTTAAAACCCACATTTCATATGGGGAAAATTCTTTTTTGTACAATATTTCCTGCCTATATCTGTGAAAAATTTTTTTTTTTATTTCTACATGCCATATAAAAGAGATTGAATGCATTCCAACCAAGAGTCGATCTCACATGCAGCACAGGTATAGGTCATCAGAATACTGTGTCTCAGATGTATATAAAATGATATTAAAGTTAATGATTAATACTGAATATTTTAAAATTTTATATCCTAAAATAATAAATTTGTTACTGCTATAGGATTTTTTACTGTAGTAATTCATATTAGGAAAATGTAGTTTTTGATGGGTGTGATTTTCCCCTAATAACAAATGTTACTATAATTTTTATTTGGAAGTTTGTAAAAGTATTTTAATTTTATATCCTTGTTTTGTCTCTTTAAATAAGAAATGGAAACACTTTCAGTGTTCAGAAGTTATGAACCTGGTGAACCCAACTGTAGAATTTATGTAAAGAATTTAGCTAAACATGTTCAAGAAAAAGTAAGTTGAAAATTTTAAATTGTTTTTATTTTATGTTGTTTTCCAGTGGCGTCCTTGTTTATCTTTTTGTTCTTGAAATTCTAGGACCTTAAGTTCATTTTTGGACGATATGTAGACTTCTCATCAGAAACACAGCGGATCATGTAAGTGGCAGTTATAACCTCAAATTGTTTATATCTGTTAATGAATTTACTACTTTTTATTATACCACTGTTCTTCTCCAGCTGAAAATTATGTGAAGAAGTTGGTCTGTTGTTTTGCATGACTATTCTGTTAGACTTCTAGGACAGGAGTCGTTCAACTTCTATACATGGACAGACGGGATTGTAGTCTTTTTATTCCAGTGTAGACCATATTGCATCTGTTGCAGCTATTTCGTTTTTTGTACGTGTGAAAGCAGCCATAAACTCCACATAAATGATTATTCATATTTGTATTTCAGTGCCTCGTTACTTACAGAAATAGACCTTGAGAAATATTCTGGCCCTAGTCCTCAGCCTAAAGGTGTGACAGAGAAACTTTCCAGAGTTTTTAACGATAGGCAACATCGCGCTGCTGCATGCTGCAGGGCCTGGAGGGGCCACCACTGCCCCAAGGCATTGGTGACTAAGCTTTGACACTGCAAAAGCATCACCTGACATCTTAGTTCCTTTTGCTGATTATTGAGAAAACGTATGCAGTACCCAAAGTTGAAGGAGAAATGGCTTATAGGCGTTTTGGGCCATCGGCAGCTGTCTCCAAGGCAGGGTGCGTGGCAGAGGGCATTGCAGGGGAAAAACCGGCTGGAAGGCAGCAGAACAGTGAGGTGGTAAACCAGAGCAGCCCTGCATTTGTCCCTTCTGTTTCATCCAGGCTGCCCGCCCTTAGGTGCATGGCATTCCCACCCTAGGTAGGGCGCTCAGCCCCCGCGTCACACATTGAATCCTGGTGTCATATCCCATAAACCCAGGATCATACACCTTAGAACCAGCCACCTCTGCAAAGCCCCGCCTCTGACATCTAGATAGAAGCCATAATGCGTGGATGAAACAGGCCCTAGGCACATCTCCTGCGAGGCTGGTGTTTAGGTAGGGTGAGAACTCAGAAGCCTGTATTTCTAGAAAAGACGTGAGTGATTCTGATGCTGCTAGTCTTAAGATTGCACTTGAAAACATTGTTTTCATGATTGATTCAAGAATACATTATATTCTAATCAGATGACGTTATTGTTTATACTTTTGAGAAATTCTCATCTCTTTACTGGGTTGCACTAAACAAAGCTCCCAATTCAGTGAAAGCACAAGATAGGGTTATGTTTTGTGAATGATACAGAAACTAATGTTTGGAGTTACAACTTCGTTGTTTGAATCCCAAAGTAAGCAAGACTATTGGCCATATAATTAAAATTAGAACGAAGTAGGAAAAAAATGGCTTTTAATGGAGATAAAATAGACAAGCAACTTTAATTGACTTTTAATTGAAACCCCTAACGATAAATACTGCCTTTTTAGATAGTGTATCTGTTTAGATAGCTGTGTGTAGATAGCACTATATCTTAAAATTCTGTATTCATGTTCAGTAGCAGCAATTGTTTCCTTTTATCAAGATAAGAGAAACTTTTCTGCCCTGGAAAAATACCTGTTTTGTGTTGCTGGTCATAATTATAAAAAAAAGAACTGTATTTGTATAAATGCATATAAATAGCTTTATAGTTGTTTATTTCCAGTATTGCCTTTAATTATAATTCGAAGTGAAAGAACAGTTATGCTTGGCTTGGTGGTAAATGTTTGTATTGACATCACTCTGGAAAGCTGAAGCAGGAGGTGCGTCCTTGAAGAGCAAAGCCTTGCTCAAAAATAAAATGTTGAAAAGGGACCAGGGCTATATAGCTCAGCACAGAGGCCCTAGGTTCAGTCCCAGTCCCGGGGGGGAAAACCGCTTTTAAGAAGTTATGTAATGAATGTCCATTTTGTATCTGTGTATTCAAAGAGGTTAGGATAGATATATAGTTACATTCTCTTAATGAATAGAGCGATTTGTTCTAATGGTGTTTGTAAATATCATGTCCACATCTTGTACAGCAATTAACCACTAGGAAGAAT